AACACGCATTCTTGTATCTCTTGCATCTGTAGGAAGAAAAGACGAGTTACGTAAGACTACTTAAATTAGGTAGTATATATATATATATATATTATTAACTTTCTTTGTCAGTAGTTTAATACTTAATCTATTTAAGCAAAATCCTTCGTAGCAAATGCAATAATAGGTTATTATTTTTTCTTTAATTATGTATATATAACTAAAATACTGTATTTTAAGAACAAGTACTAGGAAAAAAATATCGCTAAATAAAGAAGCTATATCTGCGTACTTACAACGCTAGAAACCGAGTTTCGATACCCGTGGTGGGAAGAGCACAGCTAGCCCATTGTGTAGCTTTGTGCCTAACTTCAAAACAAACAAACAGTTCATGGGGTGTATTCTAAAGCTTTATAAATTTTGCATATAATAATAATAAAATAGGTAGTCAAAGATCATGAAGACTGGTTTGCTCTATCAAATTATGATAAAATTATAGTTACTGCTAGAGCTAGGTAAGCGCTAGGCCTGTTGAACAAAGATGATGATGAACGAAAAATAAGAATTCTTGATTTTGGCTGTTCGCCGGTTTTGGACTTTAGGAAGCTCTGGATAGTTGAAAAGCGGCCTATACACCGGAGATAGAGCGCCTATGTCAAGTAGTTCTTCATATCGAGCTTCTGTTGATTTGTAGAGAAGAAAATTCAGATGACTTTTGTATTGCTTTCAATATGGGCATCTGTGCCATCCCTACATATAAATTATTAGCACACTCTCCGATAAGCAAATTAGAATAGATAATTATAGGAGAAAGCAGCATCAGTGACTGACAAATCTGATACGCAGCTAGATATTCTTAACTGAATTAGCTAAGAAAAATATACTTTACTACTGACTGATGTGTTGTGACGTAAAGAAAAATGATGAAAAAATATATTTCGCCAGGCTACCATTCATCATTAACGCTAAGGGGTCGACTGTTACTCTTATAGCGTACCTACATCAGAGAATATTTTGTGATATCGAAAGTATTCGACAATAAAAAATGAACTAAAAGTAAAACTGGCTCACCCAGAGTTTGAGAACTTGAACTTCTTCGTTTATAATTCACGGGACAAGAACTGCTCATAGTAGCACTACGAATCAAAGGTCCCGACATGTGGACTGTGCCAGTGTCAAAGGTCACTCGGGGTACGGAACGGGAACGGGGACGGCAAAAGTGAGATTGGAGGGCTCCAGGTACGTCACTCCAATTAGTAGAATCGGACGGCTGTAATAAAACGACATTCTAGTTGAAGTGTATCAAATTGGAGTACTGTATTCATAATCTTTGGGGAACAGTTACTTCTCACTTTTTTGAGTCCATACTTGAAATCTTGTTAATTTCAACGTAAAACACCAGTTAAAACATTGATGGGGAATGAAACCACTTACCTTTAGACTAAGATCACCAAGAAATTACTGTAGTTTCAACATAAACACCAGTTAAAACATTGGAGTGGGGAAGT